TCATTCGACTCGGTCCCGCTGCGAAGGCCGGGACCTCTCCTCACGCGCTGTCCACATCGCATTTTTTCGAGTGCGACACCTATTTTATAATTTCCAAATACTACTATTTGTTTGTAAAACTATCATGTTAATATTTACTCAATATTTTAACTTTTATTCAAAAGAAATAGGAAGGTGTGGGTTGAGAATTTTTAATTAGTTTTACTGACTCTTTCCCTTTACTTTTTATCTCTATTAAAAAAAAAAATTAACCCCATATATTAGTTTTTTTTAATTCAAATTCATTAATATATTTTTCCTTCCTTCCCCTACAACCAATTAAGGGTCGTGCAACATGAGTTGTCAAATAAAGTTCGATTATAAAAATGCATCATTAAATGAAAAAAATTATATTTTGATATTAAAAAAAAAGCAGATTTTTCGACCTGGATGATAAAATGATTTTGACCGTTGGATTGAAAGTTGGAAGGAAAACTTGTTATTCATACCAAAAGAAGATATGAGTCATCACTTTAATAGATGAAAAAGGATGATACAGAGCTAGAATCCTCCACATCCATTTAAGGGCGTATTTGGAGAGAGAAAAAAGTCAAGAAATAGGTTCTCTACTATGAAATATTATGAGCCATTTACAAAATCAGCATTCTGCTAAGTCAACGGACACTCTATCTATCTGTTTTTGTTTTGCATGCCAGTCAGGGACCGAGCTCGTATGTCGAGGTTTACAAGCACTGAAGTAAACCACGAAAGCACAAGCAACTGGCAACGTACACTCTGTCTCTAGATACGCTTTAATTTCTCGGCATTCAGGTAGGTTAAATGATAAATTAGCCTTAAATTATAAAATTTAAGAGGGGCTTTAAATTTATTTTTGATGTGATATTTTTTTTTAATTTTTAAAAATAATAAAATTAAATCTCTATTATTAACAAAGTTAATTTTAACTGTTAGTTAATTAAAAAATAATAATAATAAACCTCAAAAATTACAGTAAAGGACCTTAAAAATAATGGAAAAAATTTATTGATCTTTTTTTATATAATTTTTAAAATTATTTTCTTTCAATATTTGGTTAATTATGATCAAAGTTAACTTTTTTGTAATGGTCTTTTAAAAATTAAAAAGAAATATTATATTAAAAAAAATTTAGAATTTCAAACAGTCAAACCTATAATTTAAGAAACTAACATGCTCTTTTACCTTTTTTAAATAACACAAAAATTAGATAACTTTGATTTTGACACTCGATATAGGGTCAAGATTGGCAACAAAAGTACAAAACTCAGACCATTTTTTTATATACAAATTGCTTGCCAACAAAACTCTCATATAAGTGTTTAAATTCATCTTCTTGTGATATATAAACTATATCCTTATCAACCCGGTCAACTTCTATGAATTTATCTTACAACAAGAAATCCCACTCCTCTCCCTCCCTCCCTCCCTCTCTCTCTCTCTGTCTCTCTCTTATCTTGATGAAGTTCAAATGATTCACGTCAGAATGGGTTGTGCTTACAGTGGGGATGTCAAAGATTGAAACTCATGATCCCTTTCTCCACGCTTTGTTTGATCCATCCATTCAAACTTATTTAAAAGAAGAAAAAAAGGTAATCAAGAGGAGGCTCATTTTTTCCCTGTTCCTAGGTTTTAGAAATGATTGCATTCTATTATATTCCTTTAATAACTAATCACTATATTCAGTGTCGGCTTGTCTTGTTTCCATTTTACACGCGCACACACCCATGAAATTCTGTTACTTTAATTTTTCAAGATTTTGCTGGTAAGAATCAATATCTCTGCAAATTTTCCGTAAGTTAAAGAAGCCTATCCTCCCTGTAATTTGTTGCAGTCATAAACTTATAGGTAAAAGTTCACATTTGATTAATATGTTAATATTTGACAATATTTTGTCAATATTTAAAATTTTAATGTCAATATTTTTTTTGTTAATATAAGTAACAATGTTAGAAATGAAACTTTATAAAATAATGTGGCCAAAATAAAATCTTGTGTGAAACTGCATGGCTAAAGCCAAAAGGTGTACTTTTAAATACAAAATGGATAAATTTGCAGCTACTTTGAGTGATAGGTCTTTAAATTTACTAGGCCTCATTTTTTTTTTGGGCCAAACTAGGCCTCATATTTTAGCCCAGGGTTTTGGACTGTTTATTAATTTTTCTAGCTTGAAAAACCCAATTGCATCCTTTTGCTATTTGTGGCCCAAAATCTTTTTGCTTCTTTGGGCTCGGCTTCCAAGATCTGCAGAGTTCAGGCCTGTGGAAGAATATGATTTGTTTTTGTTAAAAAAAGGGATATATATATATATATATGATTTTCATTAAAAAATAATATATTATGTATTGGCCAAAATATACAAAACCTTCATAAACTTATAATCCCTCGACTTTTGAAATTTTAAACAAATACCCAACAATTTAATATTTTGACCATCAATTTTTCCATTCTTAAAATAGCTATTAAATTTAATGGTTAATGTCATTTCATATTTCCTTTAAGAATTGAGCATATGTCATATTACTCTATCAAATGACACTTGGCATTGACAAAATAACCCTCTACACATTTTTAAATATTCATAAAACAATTTTAAATATTTAAAATTTTATGTTAATGTCAAGTGATATTTGTGAGAGTAATATGGCATATACTTAATTCTTAAAAAAACAAAAAAGTGAAATTGCATAATTTGTTTAATTTTACATGGGATATGAAAATTTTTAATTTTAAATATTTAAAGGTCATGATGGTGATAGCAAACGCACCCAAAGTTATGGGACATTTTGTATATTTTAATATTAAATTTGTTTTCTTGATATCTGAATGTATCATCTTCTAATTTAAAAAAAATATATTATATATTTGATTATCTTCTAATTCTTTAATTATTTAAATATGATTCAAATGATTTTATTTTATTATATCAAGAAACTGGCAATAACTCCGCGTGTAATGCATGGGAGGCATTGAATATAACCACTACTAAACATACAAGAATGATTTGCTAAGTACTTCATGGCTTTAATCAATAAAATCACTCCAAGAAATATACAACACAAGATAAACAAACAATTATATAAATAATTAAGAATAACATTACTATAACCATGAAGTGAAGCGATATTATCAAAACGAATTACTTGGATATCTCTTCATAAGAAAGGGCCATATTATAATCCTTCCATAAGTCCTTTTAACCTATTGGAGATGCTGGCTGTCTTTTAAAGTTTTGGCTCTATCAAATACCTTCATGTCTGCGCAGTTGCTTCTGTTTTTCATCAAGTATATTCCCCACTCTACCAGTATTAAAGTGTTAATGTTTTAGTAATATATTATAAATATATTTTTTTAATAAGATATTACTAAAACATTAACACTTTAATATTTAATAATTTTTACTGTGTTATTTCAAACAATGATAACTCCGATAATCAAAATGGTATTGTTGGTCAAAGTGGCTGACCAAGATAGTATTTTGGACTTTTATAAGATCTTTTAATGTAGCTTTTGAGATCATTTTCTATAATTTTCTATTTTAACTAGTAGTTAAAGTTAGCCTATTTAAAGGTAAGAGTAAAATTGTATTGTTTTTAAATGTTGAAGAAGGACATTGTGCCGCAAAAAAAAAATTATGACACAAAATGTTCTTACATGAATAATTGAGGAACAAAAAATGCCTTGTAACCCTATTTTTATTCCTTGACTTTTTACCCTATGTATAAAAAGTTATGTTGATAATAATTAATTGTTTTTTTAACATTTTGTTACTCTTTTGCATGCTCAAACTATATACAATCTTTATTTTATAAGTTATTACCATTTACATATTAAAAATAGGCTTAAAGGGAAAGTTCCCCTTAAATTGTATGTCCTAGATTATTTGATATCCTAACCTCATTTGTGATAGAATGTTCCTATTCAACTTTTAAAAACAGTATAATGCTATTCCTATCATTAATAAAAGTTAACTTTAACTATTAGTTAATTAAAACATTATAGAGAAGAACATCAAAAGTTATAAAAAAAAGGATTAAGAAATAACAAAAAATGACCAAAAAATATGTATAAGAACCTAAAATAATTACATAAAAGGACCAAGAAAATTTCATGGTCAATTTTTATAATTTTTAATCAACCAACAATTAAAATTAACATTTATTAATGGTAGAGGCAATATTGAACCATTTTGAAATATTGAAAGGAAACGTTGCACCAAAATTGAGTGTAAGATTTTAGATGTTTCTGGATTTATAGTTTAAAGACAAATTTGTCATTTAACCCTTAAAAATATAAGTAAAAAATTGTTATTTATAATTTTTTATTTTATGTAAATTAAAAAGAAAGTTTCATTGCAAGTCTACATTCACTTTTTTTTTATAGGTCTCAAATCTACTAATTTTTTTAATATGGCTGTCAAACAGAGTTAAATTTAAGCATTATCAGTACTATTTTGTTTTTTCTTGCGCACGGGTCTTAGACATACTTTTTTTTTTTTTTTTTCACTGGGATCCTTGCTCTCTTTCACTCACTCTATAATATTTTTTTTTTTTTAAAAAAAAGAACTCAAACTCAATTGGCACTACTATAGACAATACCAAACCAACGCAGATTACAATTAAATACACAAATATACTCAAAAAATTAATAAATTCTAATACTAACACTAATAATAATAACACCAACTAATAATACTAATACTAATGATACTGATATTCAGAAGAAAGTTTGGAATTTTTCATGATTCATGCCATCCCGCCTTGGACACTGTACTTGTGACGTGAAACCCACTTCTGCTACTCATTCCACAATCTATAAATATATCTTCTAATATTAAATACATCAATCTCCTCCAACTCCATAATACTCTCTAACTAACTAACTAACTAACTATCTAACAAACTAACTAACTAACATCACTTATATATTTCTTTCTCTTTTTGATCGATCCAGTTTCAACAAAAATATTATTCATCCTAGCTACCGCTACCAGACTGTTCTCATTATTCTTCACCCACACTCCTCATGATTACCAGATCGATGAAACTCAAAGCATTGGGAATCTTCATATCCAAGGTTTTCAAGCCACATGCACGATTAAAACTTCATTCTGTTCAAACTCGTCACCCTTAAAATACCTTCTTCTTCTTCTCCTTCTCCTTCTTCAACCCATCAAAACCAATGTCTTCTCCTTCTCCTTCATTCTTCTCAGTGTTTCGTTCCCCAAAGAGATCACCCAAACACACGAAGGATAAGCTTGAACGTGATCATGCAGGTCCCTCCATTGATATGCCTGAGGTTGAAGGTGTGGTGTTTCCATCGCCACCACGAGTTTATGATAATAGAAGAGTAAGTGATCATCAGAGAAGAGAAGGTGGTGATGGTGATGGCGATGGCGATGGCGATGTTGAAGTTGAAGAGGCATGTAGAAGGTTCGAGAAGCATCTGGTGGAGATGATAGTGGAAGAAGGGAAGACTTTAAAGGACTTGATGGAAGTGGAGGAGCTTCTGTACTACTGGAAGAAGCTAAAATGTCCTGTGTTCGTTGATTTAGTGTGTAGATTCTATGGGGAACTCTGCAAGGACTTGTTTTCTTCACAAACTATTAATGAGAGAAGTTAAAGTTGGAATGAGTTACAGAATTTATCATTTATGAATAACGTACTATAAAACTTAGAATATTCTTATAAATTTATAGACATATATATTGATATACTGATATTGATGTATTGATTCTATCATAAAGGTTTTCATATTAATTTTGTTGGATCATTGTCAATTGTCATCACATTGTTATCTTACTTTTCAAGACAACATCGTTCAGCTTAATGCAATTATGGAACGGAACGTGACAAATCGAAGTAATTAACATCAAATTCTTCTACATGTGACTAGCTAGATTGAACACGTGCGCTAGATGCATTAATGAAATATCCATGGGACCTGCCAATTTTATCTCATGCTCTCATTCTAATTTCTTTTAATGAACCAAGGATTAATGAAAAAGAACAAAAATAGAAGATAATCATTTTTTAAAAAAATTATATAATTCATAATCTTTCAAACATTGCCCATCTTTATCAAGGATGATACTATTGATTTAGCGTTTGTTTGGAATAGAATAGCGTACTGAGTCAAGGGATCAATCCAATTAGGGCCCAACTCAGAGGAGACCATGGGGAAGTAGTGAGACACTACCTCTCGATGGAGCGGCGACCCAGTACTAAAGTCATACCCCTTACTTCTTGAGAAGCTGGGAGCACTCACCCTACCATTCTCCCTCAACTTGGCGCGCCAACGACTATTAAGGTGGCACAAAAGATTATTGCTCCTTTAGGCAGGTGAAATTCAAATTAAAACGAGCTTGCTGTTGCCTTCCCCTATAAAAGGTGATGAGGGCATAGCTGAAAGCTCTTTCCTAAATTCCTTCAACACTTAACACAAAAGAAACCTGCTATATGTCATTTTTAACTAGTGTAAAAAGTGTATTTTGTAATAGTTTTCATCTCACTTTTACCATGAATTCACCTTAGAGTTTATATAAAGCTTTAGTTTGATAATGAGGCTCTAATAAAGCTTTATGATAAAAGTAATATTTTGGCTTTTGAGTTTCTTGAAATTGATGCTAAATATTCTTTTTGAGCTGAAGTGATAAGGAGAAAGAGGGCTTCCTATCTCTTGCCATGCCAAGGTTTGAATTCCTGAGAAAGATCACCATTTCAAAGAACTTTTATGTAAAGGGAAGGGATGGAAGCCATGATGATTTTAATGAAGTGTTATGATACACTAGAATAAAATTATTCTACATCCCTACCACTATTTATTATAATGTTAAGGTCCAATTTTATCTCTATACTTATTTTTTATGAGCCTTGAGCACCCTATACTCTTAAGCAAAATAATTTTACCTTTGACTTATTTTTTCGAGGAGCAAAAACCATATCTATTAATGAATTGTTAACTCTAATGTTACGTGCTGATGTGAATGTGCGTAGGCCCTTGCACAGTAACATATAAAACTTTGATGATGTCCTTTAGTACTAATTTTTCCTTGAACTTTTTTCTCGAAGTATTGAGTACCTTAAAGTCTTTTTCTAAAAGCATTGGGTACCTTGAAATCTTGTTAAAATAAAATTTAATTAATATTGTTAAAATATTAAGTATTTTAATATTTAATAATTTAAATATTATTATTTAAAACATTACACCACCCAATTTAATATTTTAATATTTTGTATTAAAAATGAGTGGAATGAATCTCCAAATTAATAAAAGATTTTTTTCTTCTCATCTTTCCTTTTTTTTTCTTGTTAAGTAACTTTTTTCGGTAACACGTTAATGGAATAAACAACAACTTTTAAATAAACATTTTTGTGGTCATCTTGTTGGTCCTAATTGTCATATTTTTTATTTTACTCCTAATACTGCAGTGTATAGAGATTATTAAATTTTGGTAGTGTAATATTTTGGAGAAAGATTGTTAGTTCACCAAAAAAAATTAAGGAATTTAACCAATATTAAAAATATAAGTAAGTTTCGACATGCACAAAAAGTGTAACAATTTAAACATTGTCTCAGAAAGAAAATTGAATATCGATATACAAAAAATAAGAAATCATCTATAAATTTATAAAATGCTAGTTTGAGTTGTTAATATTTAACAAAGTAATTTATAAATTTTGAATGAATATTTATAAATAATAATATTTAAAATATTAAATATGAAAATATTTAATATTTTGATAATATTTATTAAATTTTATTTTAACAAGACTTTAAGACATCTAGTGCTCCTAGAAAAAAATTTTAGGATGCTCAGTATTCTTGAAAAAAAAGAGTTCAGAGGTAAATTAACACTAAATGACATAGTTAGAATATTACTTATTATTGTGCGTGAGCTTCATGCACATGCCACGTTAACATATAATAACAGAGTTAATGATTCATTAACACAAGAGTTTTTTGCTCCTTGAAAAAAAGTTCAGGGATAAAATTATTCAACTTAATAGTATAAGATATCTAGCACTCTTAAAAAATAAGTATAGGGGTAAAATTGAATCTTAACCCTTAATTTTATTATGTATTATTTTTTCCACAAAGTCATATCTTTCTTGTGATCTAAATTCATATCAAGATCTATAAGTATAAAGCTTAAATAACTAAAAAGAGGCTCTTTTTTTATTTTCATTGATTTATTCAAAGAGTGATTTTCAATTGATTTGAACTTTCATCGAACTTAAAACTTTGGTTATTGTGTTGATATAGGCATTGTACTAGATGAGTTGCACTCCCTCTTGTCCTAAATATATTTTAATTACTCTATTAGAACTAAGAATATGTAGTTAAATAAATGTTCTACAAATAAACAATAATAATTGTTTAAATTTACCCCTCTTTAAAAGCATGAGTTAGAAAAAATCCTAGAAAGTTGTAAATAATGATGATTTTTTTTGGGGGTATAATACATGCTATGCTTTTATAAGTAAAGTGACTAATGTATATAAAATCATTAATTTCTTCTTAAAAATTGTCTATTATATAGAGCTGCAAGGAGTAGGGCTAGTAATTTAAATATGAAACCTAGTCAACATGATCCTGCATGAGGCTGCCCAATCCAAATTGACCAAGCAAGGGGGGGAAAAAAGGAAAAAAATCAGCCCAAAAAAACAGAGAGGGAAAAATTGGACCAAGCTAAACCATGAAGTTTTATTTTATGAACCCTTGTGTAGTTTGCAGCTAGAGAGTAGAGATCATATTTTTATGAACTCTTGTGTATTTTGTAGCTAGAGAGCAGAGATCATATTTCATGTACCCTTGAGTATCTTTTAAAGAAATTTAAATGTGGATTGAGTATGCTCTGTCTTTGTCTCTTAACACTGAACTGGGTTCCCATTTGCAGCTTTCATACATCATAGGGATCTCTGTTTTTTATTTCAAGAAGAAAACTCTTCCATTGCCTTCATTCAAAGCATCACCAGTAGTAGGCTCTAGTACAAGAAGTTCATAAAATAGCTAATCATTTCTTTTCTGTAACCTTCAGTCGCAGTATTTTTTTTTTTATTTCAATTTCCCAACTTCTTAACATTTGTTAAATCTGATGCATTGTAACTTTTTTCTTCGTAATTATGTGATCTTTTTAGTTTTTGTGAGAGAGAGAGAGAGAGAGATTAGCAGCCAGAGAAGCATAGATGGGGAATGGAAACGAGCGCAGATTATGGCCCATGGGAATAGCCTATTGCTTAGAGTGCTTTTTTTGACTGAGAAAAGCCTCCAATGCCTCTCTCTTGAGAGAGAGATAAATCTAAATCATTTAAATTTAATATTTTTTATTTGTTATTTATTATTTATATTTTTAAAATGAAAAATATATAAAATTATAAAAAATTTAATAAATATACTTATCAATCTAACTGTTCAGATTTAATATGAATGATTCAAATTTAATATAAAAAATTTAAATTAACTTTTTAAATATATTTTGAACAGTGCAGATATATTCTAAATAGAATAGTAAATTTATAAAAAAAATTTAATATTAAATTTAGACCATCTATATTAAATTTAGACTATCACATTGATAAGCATATTTATTAAAACTTTTCACAATTTTTATATATTTATTATTTAAAAAATATAAATTAAAATTAAAAATATTAAATTTGGACTGTCGAAATTAAACCTCTGCCTTAATGACAAAGGAAAGCCGACTCCGTTACTCCACACACAAGCCTAAAATCTTCATCTACATGCCTAACTGAAAATCTTTATCTATATGCTGCTAAAATATAGATAAGACCTTAGCTTTTAGAATGACATTGTTAATACTTCCACGGTTGGTAGTTGGGTTGCAGATTTTCTCTAGTTAAGTAAAGTAGAAAGATTTAACTTTGACAGTGAGAGAAAAAAAATTCATGTTAGGAAAGTCCAATAGTACAAGATATCATCAAATAATTTGTGTGTTGGTGCATGTATATTTATATAAAAACTTCTTTTGTTCGTAAAACGCCATTAAAATAATAGACGTATATTTATCATAGACAAAAGATTTAACTTACTGCTCAAACTTCTTTTAAATACTAGACTCATGCTAAAATAATAATAATTGACACATACTTATCATAGTCTAATAGAAGGGATATTTCTTCATAACCTAACAAATGAAAATTTAAATTTTAACTCAAAAAATACTCATATTTAATCAAGTCATGAACAAGATTACTTTTTATGTATATAGACTAGTCATCTTAATTTAATTCAAAAGATACAAATTTTATTATTTTCAATTAGTACAAAATTGTATATTTAAAAAATCTTTATTAAACTACAAATTTATTTTATTTTGTAAATTTTAAAATAAATTAAAATAATAAAATTTAGGTCATCTTAAGTCAAAATACTAAGTCGTCTATCTTAAGGAGTTCAAGATCAGGATCAAAGTTTTATTTATTTATTTTTTTTACCAGTAAAAGAACTTCATAAATAGAGGAAGGAAACAGAGTTTACCAAGACAATAAACAAGAAGCAAAAGGCATGAAAAATTCATAAACCAATCATCGCAGAGACATGGCAAAAAAACTAAAATAAAAGACAAAAACCATCCAATGCCTTCCCTATCACTGTTAAATATAGGTTGCTAGTCTTATGAACATTATGGTCGTAACAGATATATCAAATTAAAATCATGCTTACACATACACCAGAAAACTACAAGTCTTCCACACCAACAAATCACTTTTCAAACTTGATTCAAACCATCCTATTTATGAAATTAAAATTCATAATCATATGACTCTAAAAAAAAAAAAACTTGAAATCCAATTTATATGTGCAGTAGCTAGTTCCAAACTTTAAATATGATAAAGCCATAGTTTGTGTTGATTAATAAAGCCACTCATTTGAAGCTTTAGACGGGAGGAATCATGTGTTTATACTACTTCCATAACTTTAAGATATAACCATTACAGAAACAATATTTAAGATAGTTATTTTTATCAAATTGTACTTTCGTTAAGATAGATATGAGCCATAGTCGTGTGATAAAATAGTAAAAAGAGTGGTAGATTGGAAATCCAACCATTTGGAGCCACACATTTAAGAGAAGAGGCTGTCAACCAGTTAACTACTAGGTCTTCATCTCACTTGACAAAAAAGAAAGAGATAAAATGTGAAGACTCAAGGATTGTAGTAATGTCACCAAGAATTCTCTGAACAGACCAAGGGCAATAAGACATATCCTTGGATGAGATAGCACGAAACATCTCTAAAGAGTCCATCTCGATGACAACAGTGTGATGACAAAGGTCTATAGCTATTTGGATGGCTTTCTAACGTGTGAGAAGTTCAGACATGAAGCTTGAATCATCATGAATTTGATCTCGCCATCCCTTCAAAAAATAATCTGAGATATCCCTTGCTATAATTTAAAAAATGATTTAAGATATCCCTTACTATAATTCCTATGGCTGCTTTCTTTGTATTTTGCATAAAAGCCCCATCACAATTTCTCTTAACAGTATCAACATTAGGGGGAGAGCAGACAGTATTAAATTGCAGTTGAGAAGGAGAATTGATAGAAGTTTCATAATTAATCTTCCAGTATTCCTCAACTGCAGCACTAGTAGAACCAATGACTTGCAAACGATTTAAAGCAGCGACAGAGAAGACAGATTCCAACAGAAAATTTTAATTAAAATTATATATTTAGAAAATATTAATTAAACTACAAATTTATTTTTATTTTATAAATTTTAAAATAAAGTAAAATAATAAATTTTAGGTCATCTTAAGTCAAAACACCAAATCGTCGAGAGTTCAAGATCAGGATCAAAGTTGACTATAGAGAATTTTGAAGGATATTACTAGAGCTGTCAATTAGGGCCGGCCCTTGAAGCCTAAACGGGCTGGCCTTAATAAATCTGATTATATGTCAGGGTTTTATTTTATAAGGCTCGGCTTTAGCCTTCAAGACTAAAGGGTCAGCCCTCAGGGCCTCGGTTCTATTTTTTTAAAATTATTTTTTTAATTTAAAATTATAAATATATATATATATATATATAATCATAAAAAGTTATTATACATAAAATTAAGTTTAAGAAAATAAATTTAAATCAATTTACATCACAATAATAAAGAAAACTAAAACATTTAGGTTTAATATCAAATAGCAATATCAAAGTGAATACTAATAAAAATTAAACTTAACTAATATTATCAACTAAATCTTAATAAATAAAAGAAGGATGAATGAATACATTTAATATATTTATTTCTTTAAATTATATATTTAATTTTTTATTTTTTTATATTATAATTTTTTAAAAAAATAATAAAAGAGTTTAAAAAGGTTGACTTTTCATTCTCAAACTTAAAAGATTAACTTTTTTAAGTTTAAATTGTCATTTTCTTTTTAAATAATGATCCAACCTTAATTATTTTTGAGTTTAAAAAAACTGCCCGACGCGCTCAGCCTTAATGACAGCTCTAGATATTACAACTACCATCAGCAATGTTGAAATCTACCAAGTGCAAAATTGCAAATGCAGTATCGGCACCATCACAAAATCCGACAAGAATTTTTCAGAGACTAAATCGCGGAAAGAAGAGGGGATGAAGAAGGTACAGTGGTCAGATCCTCATCGCCACCGGAAAATCTAGTGGCCAGAATCTCAAGAGATAATCTACTGATCCTTGCAAACTCACCGTTGTTCTTCAACGCAATCACACCGGATCTGGTCGACGGTGTCAAGTGGACGATGACTCAGGCGACCAGGGACTTCGGGTGCAGTTATTGGCCTGATGTTGTAGCTACAGAGGAATGGCGAGTCAGGGGCAATATCGGCCAAAATTTTGTCTATCCCATGAGCTTTCATAAACTTATATGAAGCATTCAACTCTTCCAGTGATGAAAGGAGAGTGGAAATCTTTGCAGGATTTGAAGAGGCGTGCCAATTGCCAAACAAAACTAATCGGTATTCCCACCGCTCCCATTTCGCGATTAGGGTTTTCTGCTTACCAAACAATGCGTAAGATGGTAGTGATTACCTGTTGTCTGAGAAAATGTTATTTTCATTGAAGGTAAAATCCATTCAGGTTTCGGACAAGAGAGAGAAAGGGCATGAAATCAAAACATGAAATTCCTTACTTTTATTTAGAGAAAGAACTCAGTTGAATCACTTGGAATTTCATATATAAGCTTTGGCTCATTAGCCAACAAAGTGTTCTGCATTCAAGTAAAGATAACAAATGAATAGGCTGGTTCATTTATGATAAGGAGAAACCACGTGCCTTTCTTATCTTGATTAGGAAAATGCATAGTTTTGAACGACACTTTGAGATGTTTAAAAACACATTTAGGACGAAAAGGAAAGAAAGAAAGTGTCAGCTTTATTCCAAGTTGAAAATGAATAATGAGCATGGTGGGGGCGAGGGGATGAATTTGAAGCTTGTAGTGTAAATGAAAAATTCAAAGGACAGTGGTGGGCACAATGAGATATTGTTGTTGCTGTTAAGAGAAAGAGGCAGAGTCCTTGAATTAATCACCTTCCGTTGCATGACAACAACAGCATGAGAACAAGCCTGATTAAGGTAGGTACAGGAGCTTTTCCTTTTCTCCACATATCAACATCCTCCTCTATTCTCTGTGCATAGGTTCACTTACGTGGCTCTCCCTCTACTTCAAAGAATTCAGTGTGTGTAATTTTTCTGTATCACATAAATGTGATTGTTGACCTTCTAAATCTTTAAAATAAAAATTATATTATGATTATTAGTCACTTTCTTCTTTTTTATTTGTTCATGTTAATAGTGCATACAATTATCAAGTGAGAAATAAAGGGCTATAATTTAATTTGGTGTCCTTATGATGGGATTTCACATGGTCAGTTAGCTAGTGGCAATAACTGGCTTATTTTCATATATAATATCGGATAAAGGGAATGGTTCTCAATTTTTTAACTTTTAGTCATCACTAGTTGTGGCATACGTATGGTTTTAAATAAAGGTCATTTACTGTGTTTTGTCGTAACATCATCATTTCACCAGAATTGGTCATTTATCATTAACTTGATCCACACAATGCTTGTTCTCAGTAATAGCATACCTGTTGAAGTTATGGTGTCATTATCCAAGTTTATTCATGTAACCCTATATAAAGTAAATAATTTAATTAATGACATGTACAATATAACGACAGTAATTATGTAATTACCATCATTTACTGCTTCTGGGAATTGGTTTAGAGTTTCAGTTTTTACATGGAGAGTCAATTTATATGGGATGCCCATATAAATTGACTCTCCATGTAAAAACTGAAACTCTAAACCTGAAGTAACTTTCATATTTGAAATTGGATTTTTTTTTTTCTTTTCATTATGAGGAGTTTCATAGACCCTTTCCACATCTAATATTGTCAAAAATTGCAACAGGAACATCTCAAACTAAAGCTCACAGCGTCCTTCCCTCTCATGATTCACAGCATGGCTTGAGATGAAAACAAGTTAGTGCTGTTTAGTGAATATGTTTGAGAATACTGTTAAATCCATTAAAGTAAGGAGTATTTAAGTTTTCCATTAGTACTGGATTTCCTGTTTTGGCAGGAAAATGAACACATGAAAATGTAGATTAAATGTGAATAAGCGAATGATATGGGTCATTACTCATTTGTTGCTGACAAATGAGAAGCACAACATTGGGCCCTCATTTTCTAAAGCAGCCTTTGAATTTCAAGGAAGAGAACAGCACTGCATGTGATCTCTGCATAGTTGTGAGCAAAATGGTAAGGCTGCCAAATAATATTTTTCAAATGACAGCAAAGAGATTTCATCCTGCAACTACAATAGCATGAGTTCAGGTGTTGCTACTACTCATTTTTTATATATTGGAAACAGATTTGCAACATTGTGTTATTTCTTCACCATGAAATCTTAGCAACTTAAAACAGTTTAGGGAAGCAGAACCAGCTAATAAGGACATCCGCATAAGGAAAAGTTGTAGACTTTGATATCAATTATTGGTGTTATGCTGTTGAAGAGTGAAGAACTTGAAGGTCTTACGCAGTGAATGCATAAATAGGAAATGAGGGTAAAGCCAGAGAATATATATCCTCTGTCAAAAAAAAAAAAACACTCCAATTCCTTTATTTATTTGGACAACATAGTTTGTCCACATTCCCCTGCCTGCGGAATCTGACTTCTTTGATACTCTTTTTAATCACCCATTTCAAGCAGTGCTCACGGCTTCCCTTTCTCTTATCGCACAAGTTTGCTTCTCTCTCTCTCTTTCTAGACATATCTCTGGTTTGACAAAAACAAAGACAATGAAAGGTATAGTAAGTAAAGTTTATTAAATCATTCGTTACCATAAAGACATGACACAAAAATCAGTGGAGGCTACTATTGAAAATTCAAGCAGAGTGCAAGTGCTTTTATTTTCCCAAAGAGTTGAGGGTTTGTATACAGATTGAACCAAAGGTTTGTATTTATGTGAATTATTAAGTGTATTATGATTCCCTAATGCAAGTACCAAAAAATTCCAGCCTTTTAACTAATTATTTAATCCTTCAATAACAGTATCAAGTCAGTGTTTGGAAGAAAGAAAAATATCCACACGTATGGTTGATTTTCTTTTAGTCTGGAAATGGCTTTAACATATTGGCTAGTTTGAAAATCTTACTTCTGTGTCCTTTTGCAGTGAGATTAGTGGATATAATGCATCCAAATGCTTAAAGACACAGAGCTTATACAATAGTACTACTGCAGCAATAATGTAATACAAAATTAACAGTTTCTGAAAAATTACGAATTATTAATGAAAAGACAGTAGAAAAAGAACAAGGAAATTGCAGTTGAAAGGGCGGGAGTTGGTTAAATGCTTTTTTTATCTCATAGACAAGAAAAAAAAAATGCAGAAAGGGGAAAAAGCAGGGAAAAACAGAGAAAGGGTGAGAAAAGAGGGTTGGGGCAGTTTTAGTTAATATGGGCTTGGGAATAGTTGAAAGACAGAAGAAAGCCTGCAAGACAATCCGAGACCCAAACATGGAAAAGCTTATGAAGCCATGGCTTTCATAGATTCACTCTCAAAATTTTTTTTATCTCTTCCTTCACTGTTCAAAACACCTTCTTTAATTTGCCGTACCATACCATTCACTTTTCCACTATATGCCTACTGTCTCATCTCTAGCTACCTCCCTCTTTTAACTAACGTTGCAATTGAGAGAAAAATAAAAGGGTATGTTGCAGTGACTTTACCTGAGACAAAATGAGATGAAGTATTAGGTATTTGTTTAGCTCAATGTCTGCATTCAAGGTACAATCCCCCTGGATATTGTAAACCCTATTATTGGTTCATAACTTCACACACCCTTCTCCAAAGGGTGAGACTCTCAGAAATAGAGAGAGTGAGAGAGCGAAGGAGAGAGGGAGGGAGGAAGAGAGAGAGAGAGAGAGAGAGAGAGAGGGTGTCAGTCATATATATCTGAAACGATCCCAGTTATTTCTACTGTAGGGTTTCAGAAGGAACTTTCTTCTTTGTTCATGGAGAGGAAGAGGAACAGAACCCATCTTCGTTTCGGTGTCTTTTTCTTCTTCATCTTCTCAAATTTCACAATTTTCAGCTCTGCTATAACAGGTCAGGGTATGCAAATCCACTATCACAATTCCCCACATATTGTTCCGCTTAACTCTCAGATATTTTCATGTCTAACTCGCATATATTCCTTCTCTAATGTAGATACTAAGAGGTGTTCTATGTTACCTGATGTAGATTTCCAGGTTAGTTGCTGTTATTATTTGTACAGCCTGAGTCAGAGCTTGTTTTACCAATCAGAAGTTTTTATTACTAGTACAGAATAGTGGGTATGCTCTGTAATTTCCCAGCTTTATAGGATTATTTCAGTTATCATTCTTTTCCTTTGCTTGATCCATCTGAGTCTAGTCCTGGTTATTGAAGAGATGGAGGAATAAATGGAAACTTTAATCAAATTATGATGAAGTTAAATGATTAAGAAAGAAAATCTTGCGGGGTTAAAAATAATAGCCCCCAGTAATTGGATGCGAAGGTGAAAAAAATTGTAATGGAATATTGAACAGGTTTTGTTCATCTGGGTGCATGACACTTGGGGAGGATGAAGAAAACATAGTGTGATTAAGAATATTAGCCAACTGGTGAGAAATGAAATTACGAAAATTTTAAGTGAATGCATTTGATAACCTAGGGTTAGTTTGCAAAAGTAAGGTTCTTCTTGTGTAGTTGTGTATTCGAAAATTTAGTTTGTATTTGGCATAAGAGAAAGAGTTTGTCTTCTGCAATATTTATAATTGTTATTCACTAACATTTATAATATCATTTTATTATTTTTAACTAATTTTTTAAACTTAATTTTCAATCTATTTAGAGCCACATCTATATGTTACAAACGGATCCGTATGATAAAGGTGCAAGTCTTGGTTGATGCATGAAGTCCACCATGATAAGCTAGCACACGTGTGAGGTGGTCCTACATGTGGTTCCACATGTACTCTCTGAGTTTTCTCATAATTAAATTTTAATTTCTAAAGTAATATTAGAAGTTTGTGTTTTTGAAGTGTTTTAGAATCATATGGACTCTACCTACACTGCACTAGTATTCTACGTTTTCTCATGATTGTAGGGAGCCATTTATTGAACTAGGTTGGTTTGTCTGTCCTTTTTCAGTTAGAATGAAAGTTAATAAGAACGTTAAGCTTGTTGACTGTGTATGCATGCCAATTTTTCTTTTTTCTTTTTTTTTTTGCCTGATAATTGTTTTTGAGCAGAAGAAATCTGAGGAGAAACTTGGAGAAATTTCGCTTTCAAGGAGGTTTCTGGGTGGGCCAGGGTCATCACCACCACGCTGCAGCTCCAAGTGCGGCAAATGTACACCATGCAGGGCGGTTCATGTGCCGGTGCCTCCCGGAACTCCGGTGACTGCTGAATATTATCCTGAAGCATGGAGGTGCAAATGTGGCAATAAGTTGTACATGCCATGATTACATATTGCATATAGATTATTTCCCGTATCCTTATTGTAAAACCTCGCTAGCTTAAATGATCATATGAATGGACTCTTTAGTTGTTCCAGTTTAGCTTGCCTAGGGTAGACGTCTTTTATGTTAAAAATACAGCAGGACTCAATGTTAACAATATTAATGTCATTAATATTTACATGTATGTTATGGTGTATTCCTTTAATTCTATTTATCTGGTAAGGAGAGAAGATTAATTTTGATTCTATTTATAAAATGTTCCACTATATTCTATATTTATCTTTATCTTGCTGACTTTATTAAATATTAAAAAAATTATTTAAATAAACTCTTTGTTTTTATTAGATTTTTTTAAGGGGATAGAGATTGAAATTTATTAAATATTAATAATGTTTATGGTTTTTTTTAACTCCAATGAAACATAATATGAGTAACTTATAAATAGAATTAGAAAAAGTATGTACTTTCAAAGTTATTCTTCTAATCTTGTTTGAAGCTTTTAATGTGTAGAAGAACCATGTATAATACGAGAAAAATGGTTGAATTCTATTAACAGTGAATTCAGATTTCCTTCATGTTCTTCCTTTTTGTTTCTTATACAGTAATATATTGACTTGATACAAGGAAAAGGGTTGTTTTTTGAAACTTAGGGATTAATCTTTCATTTTATATGATTAAAACTATAAAGATTATATTGTGCTGAGTTAAAATTTAAAAATTTAGTTAAATTTTTTATTTTTCCTACATTGTGATGCCTTGTTAAGAGAACCAAATATTAATTTCTTATATCTACAGATAACAAATTTTAATCCCAGGAGATATATTAAAAGGTTAAACATAAAATACCTAGAATTTTTTTTTCTACTAAGAAGTTATGATATTTTTAAATCAATAATATATATATATATATATATTTATTAATTTTATAAAAGATGTCAACATTTTTTAATATATGAAATTTAATGGTCAATGTTAAACTATTTTAATAGAGTAAAAAATATTAGTTTTTTTTATAAAGTTAATGGATATCTATGTGATATTGTAGACTTAAGGATACTAATACCTCTTGAAAAAAAATGTTTTTAATAAATGTTTTTACACCTTAATCCAGTATTAAATATGAAGAAACAAGGTGGAAACACGGAGTCCCAAAAAAGCAAAACAAGAAAAAGAAAGGTAGTTTGTGAATAATTGGAGGGAATTGAAGTGAGTGAAATGAAGTAATTGGCGAGAAAGGATAGAGAATGGTCAAAGAGAAGAGAAAGTAGGAGCTGGTGGTCAATCCTGCGAAAGTGATGCATCCTGTTGCGGATATGAATATTGAATTCAAAGTTTCAAATTTTAAGTTTTGACAGATTCACGTTCTGCGGTGTCCCCCAATCAATGTGCCCTACAGGCTACAGGTACATCAAGTATGAAAATTCAAATCAGTATAGTCCTGGACTCAGTAAATTATTGAATTAATATTTTAACTATTTTAATACAATATTTTGTTTACCTTTAATTTGATTGCAATTCAATTATAATTTTAATTATTAACTTAAAAATATATATTTATATATTTTTATAATTTCACTTAATTTTAAATTAGATTCTTATAATTTATTTTTTAAATCAAGTCCTTTCAATTTCATCTTTTATATATAATGGCCCCTAAAAATTAAAATTAATAATAAATTATTAAATTTTACAAAATAAAAATACTCTTAGAGTTAGCAAAAAATTTAATTTAATAATTTTAACCAAAATTGAAAAAAAATTTGATTTAATCCACTTTTTTTATTTTTATTATAATTTTTTATGAAAATTTTACATATATAAAAAATATTTAGAAGACAATCTAATTATATAAAAGTTTTTAATTTTGTTTTTTTAAAAAAATATAAGGATTTTAATTTTAAAAATTAAAAAATTTAATCAATAAACTATAAAAATTTAATTAAAATAAAATAAATTATAAGAACCTAATTTAAAATTAAAAAAATTGTAAGAATTTATAAATATGTTATTCTTATTAATTTTAAACTAATATTTTGATCGGTCCAATCACATTTTTTATATTTGGGTCCTACACTAAAAAAAATTTACGGTGCCACAATCCACTCAATCTCTTGGATGGTGACTACAAAACAACTCACCCCATGTGTCAATACTGCCTCGCCGTGTGATTGGCTCTCATCAGTTAGTTTCTAGGTTTCGGCCTCTCATATGACTCTGTGCTTAGCTTACTGAGAGGACATGATTCTGTGTAACAGCATGACAATCTTACAAAGGAAGGAGATAAACCCATCGATAGATTGAGACTCTTCTGTCATGCTAGGCTTACTTTTTCATATATTGCTCTCTCATATTTAATAAAATATAGTATAAAACATTGCTTTTTCAATTTTTTATTTAAATATAAAAAAATTGTTAAAAGTGATTTGTTATTAAAATAGTAAAAATTATTATTTTTTTAAAGATTACCCACCAATTAAAAACATCCTATCTTAATTATATTTAGTGCCCGTTTATTTAAAATTAACAAATAAATAATATTTAAATAGTTTAGAGATTTTATAGGAAGAGATTTATTTTATAAAGATTTTATACAAAACAACATTATTTTTATATTTGATTAAAATAATAAAAAAAGTAATTATTAGTTAGTTATTTTTAAATTTTATAATATCTTCTTTATTTTTTAAAAAATAATATATTATTATATTATTTTAAATTTTTGTAATATCTTTGCATATCTCACTTCTTTAAAACACTTTTATTCATCTGTCACATTAGATTATTTTCAAAATCTATTCAAACTTCCTTCTTAAAATAACAAGAAATCAACTTTTTTTAGATTTTGATTATTTTTAAAAGCTTGAACAAGTATAATAAAAACTCACAAAATAGATTTAAAAAAAAATGTTATGAAATAAGCTAAAACAAACTGAACTTAATTTCTTCCTCACATAATGTCTCTATTCAATACAATTAATAAACGCGTCTGTAGACAAAAAAAGAATAATTGAATTTAATTGACTTCTTGCAAGGTGTCTTACATTTTATATCAATACTAATTGATAGAAAATGTCCTATATTTTGAACTAGAGAGAGTACTTTTAGAGCTTTTTATTTTTTAAAAAGTAAACAATCATTTCACATTGAACAAGAAATTAATCAAGATTAATAAGCAGGTTTGATATTTCACTTTTTTCCCCTAAAAATGTTTATATTGATTGTTTGGCAGGGTAATTATGTATTTAATAATATTAACTTAATTTCTCTCAATTATTAACAAGAGGTAAAAAATTAATAAATGTACAAGTCAATATAATGCGTAATTATAGATTTATTTCTTATAAAAAGTTCCAAATGGAGAAATTCTTGAAATGGAGCATGAAGGCTTACTATAAAGATCCAGGATCTGTTTACCAAGAGAGGTCAAAACCCAAAAAAAAAAAAAAACCAAAAGGCTAAAAACAAAAAGCTAAAAAAAAAAAAAACAAAAACAAAACAAACAGACAGACAGACAAACAAACAAACTTGACCTCAAGTTTAGCGGTCATATGGTACCAAACGGAAACGGGGATCAAATACTCTTTCCTAGTCCCATACATGAGAAACTTTTTAAATTTCTTTTAATGATAGTCATTTTCATGACAATAAAAATACTTTCTCTCACTTTTTTTAAAGGTTAAAATATAATTTTAATTATTTAATTTTATATAAAATTTTAATTTGATCTTTTAATTTTTAAATTATATTTTTAGTTCTTTAATTCTATTATTGTTAGTTTTAAATAATTATTTTTTGTATCAATTATTATTATTTTAAACAAATTAAACTTAATATATCAACATCTGAGAATATTGTGTTAATATTTAAAATTTTAATATAAAAATTTACTGAAATAAAACTAATAATATTAAAGTTAAAGGACTTCTGATAAAACAAAAGATTAAATAACTAAAAAAATATTTTATAAAATTAAAGAATTAAAATAAAATATTATATAAAGTTAAATAATTAAATATATACTTCAACCATTTTAAAATTAAATTCAATCATTTGTGCCTCAACTGCAAATGCTTGTTCAAACTGTCACTAAAATTTTTCATGTCTTCCCCTGTTCAAGGCCTTTTCGGGGGCCACCGGAGAGATGCCCACAATACACTTAGTATTGGATAGTTTCTTGAACAAGATATCCCTAATAATTTTTTTAAAAAAAGAAGTTGCAAAAAATTTAAAATAATTGTAAATTCAAGATTTTAATTAAAATCAAGACATTTAAAATATAAATAAAAATTTCAATTTGTAAAATTAATATTCATGTTTGCAACTATTTAAATCAATATTTATAATTTTTTTTTCAAAAAAAATCATCAAAAATCTAATTATGATTGTTTTTCTCATTTGGGACTTTCCGTATTTTTACGTTCAAACAGGATGATATCAGGTCAATTATTCCTTGAGTTTTTATTCATTAATATACTCACTTCATTTAAAAATATAAAATATTTTTAATCAATCTCATCCCTCAATAAAGTAATTATCTGCTTTCAAACCAACCCCATCTTTTTATATTTATTCATATTAAACACCCTACAATAAATATAGTCATTATCAATAGGGGATACTTTTAAAAAAATAATGATTACACCTTGAATGACTAAAAATACCTTATATTTTTTAATGGAGAAAGTAAGTTATTATTAAATAATTACGTTTGTAGAAAAAGCTAGTTAAAATTTTATTTTTATAAATTTTTTTAAATCTTTTCAATTGTAATAAATATAACATTTAATTTATTAAAAATATCCTCATTAATTAATAAGTAAAGTAAGGGAGTAATTAAAAAAAATATATATGACACCTATTCAATGCTTAATATTTTGGATCAAATAAAATTTTAAAAAAATAACTTATACGCTGCTGAAGGGAGTATTAATTAAATACCACTCCCTTCATTTAGAAATGTATGACATGTTTTAAGAGCTTAATGTTGAATAATATATAGGACATTTTTAGTATTTTAAAATATAATTAATTTAATTTTTATAAAATATCATTAATAAATAAGTTAGTTTATATTTATTTTTAAGTAAAATATTCTGTTAAATAAAAAAGATAATATTAATTTAATGATAGTTAACTGATTTATTAAAGGAAAAATGACAATAAAATCTATTCAAATTATATAAA